AACTGGTGCTTGCTCCCAAACTCCGCCCCATTGCGCCTCTGAAGTCTTATGGATGAAATCTTGATGTACTTGAGGGATTTGGATGTTTCCTTTGTACACGTCGTTCGAGGTTTCAATTCGGACACCGACCTACTAGCTAATTTGGCCACATCCTAAGTCTGTGCTCTGGTGTTTCCCTTTCCCTTCTGCCCCTCTCTCCCTCCCGTCCTTTTTGGGGTTTTTTTCTTTTTCTATTGTCCTTGTGTTTTGTATTTTTATTTATTATCTTAATAAAGCTCACACTTTCTAAAAAAAGGATACTGGTATTGCCCAATCAAGCCAGCTTGAAATATCTTCGGTTAGGCCAAGCCGGATTAATGATAATGAGGCCTCCAACAGGACCGGGCCCTACATAAATAAGGACAAAAGTATTTAATGCATTAAATATATGCTTTAGAAGTCTTCTGTTCAAGACCGGGTCAGGAATACTAGGCCCATGAGCCTTGATATACAATCCAAACCAGGCCCTGCAAGTGATTTGCCAAGAACAGTAAAAAAAACTCCCGTCTATTATGGGAATAGGGTGGGGGTTGATGCCTCAACATAACGTCCCACACCCTCCAAATCCCACTGTTAACCCATAAACAAAAACAAAAACAAAAATCCCACATATTATTGCGCAACATATTTTCTTGAAGAAACAAAAGATGAGGTTGTTTATTAGACGATGCTTATTTTAACATTTCACCCACATGTATATTATGACAGTTACATTTTTAAATTTTGCCCTTGCGGCTGAACCCCGGTTAGGAGTGGCAATAGGCCAGGTGGCCTGGCCTGACTCGGTTAGCCCAACCCTAAAAAACTAGGGCCTAGGTCGCAACATGTGGCATGATGGCCGGGCTAGGGTCGGGTAACCATGGCTCGAAGGTAGGGCCAGCTGGGTTTGGCTTGGCCTAGTCCTATTTTTCATTGTTTTCCTCTTGTTTTTTTTTTCTAATTTTATTTGGCAGGGCTGGGCCTGACCCTAATAGAGTTAGGGCCGGGGTCAAGCCAGGGCCTTTTTGGCCCTGATAGAGCTGGGTAGGGCCTAGCTTGACCTAACCGTATGGGGAATAAGGCTGAGCTAGGGCCGGCCTGGAGCAGCCCACCCCAGGTCCTGCCCGTTGCCACCCCTCACTCTGGCTGTTTCGAGATTTACAAGATATTGGCATTGACTCAACAACTTAGATAATTAATCTTGAAAAACATTTATTATGTGTTCCCATGTGCACGAGTAATTTGATTTTTTATGGCTCTAGGATCTGAAAGCCATTCTAAATCTATGTTTCCGCATTATATCACGTATATTTACACCTCAAAAAATAATGTGATAAATAATTAAAATAAACTATCCACCAAAAAATTTCAAAATAGATTATTTTTAAAGTTTAAAATTCTTTTGTCTAGATTGATGATTGTGATGGCCTAGAATCCTCTATATGATTGATCAACTAAATTTTTATCCAAAATCCAACTCTTGATATATTTTGAAAGCAGATGCACAAAATAAGATGTCTATCCATTAATAATTTGTTATTTTTATTTAATAACTTTTTTGCATGTCAGTGTCTTTAATCTCAAGAATTTTAGAATAAGGCATGCTAAAACTTTTGGGTTTTAGAGACCGATATTTTAAAATTATATATATCAAAAAATACTTTTTTTTTTTGTAAAAGAATCGCATAAAAAATAGAGTGGAAATGGACTAGTGTATAATTGTTTGGGCCCAGGCCACTAAATTTGGCCGCATAGCTGGGTCCGGGCCTAACGTCTAGGCCCAATGTCTAGATTGGGCAAGGTGCCTAGAGTCTCGGCCCGGACATGGCCCTGACAAAAGAAATAAAGAAAATACACTGCCCAGCCAGTCGCCACTAATAGGGCTGGCAGGGCCATCTTTTTAAAGAGTAGGGCTCGGCCTAGGTTAGGGTCCCCATGACCATTCTAACCGGCCCAGGCCCATGTTGGTCCTTTGGCCATGATGGCGTATTTTCATCCTTAGCCTGGAGTTTCTTCTTCAAAGGTTGCAGAGTACAATATAGTTCGAAAATTTTATCAAATTATCTATGAGAGATTAACAATTTAACCTTTTATCCATATCCTTTAATCTAATTTTAAAATGCCCAGAGTTGGAATACTTTGAAAAGGGTAAATTGTTTCAAATAGTTCATCTCTTGTGAATATTTTGATAAAGTTCCCATATAATTTTCATAAATATACATAATTTTTGGTGGTGAGAGCCATTTCTATTCAATTGTTAGAGACAGAGAGAGGTATGAAAAGGTCTCTTAAGGACCAGTGTGTATGTGCCAGTTATAGGTGCTGTCCTTTTAATGAATTATACAAGAATATTAAAAAGAATTGCTCGGTAAGTCCTGTTATTCATGAGTAAATCCCATCTCTCTCTCCATCTCTCCCCCCTAATCTCTTTGTTTTGAACAAATACAAATTGTAGAGGATGAAATCTCTCTTAACACTCAAAAAACAAGGTGGATGAAAATCTCTGGTACATCCACTTTTTTTATGATGAATCTTCTCTCTCTCTCTCTCTCACACACACATATATCTAAGAAGCCAAAGAATCAATCAATAGGAATAAAACCATCGAATTATTAAAAAATGACCCAAGAAAAGTCTTTGAAAATGGTAGATTGTTGGGGATCAATCACTCGATGGAAGGATGGGTAATGTTTGGCAATCTTTGGCCAGACACAAAAGTATGGAAGAGCTTGAGTGCTCTTGCTGGCTGAGCATAGGGTACCATGTGAGCAGCACCTCTCACTGTAGCAAAGGTCAACATGTTCCCATATTCTGCGGCCCAACCCCCAACCTTTCACAATAAACAAATGAAAAAACATAAAAAGAAGATTAGTCATTTCAAACCAGCCCTTCAAAGCATTGTACATTCAGAGAGAATGGCCACTAAAATGCACTGCAAAGAAATGAAAAATATTAAAGCACACCGAGCCAATGTTTTGGAGCATAGATCAATGGGGTGGATCCCCTACCCATCGACTCTCAGATCACGTCGATCGGTGATCTTGATCAGGAGAATTCGTCAAAAATGGGAAAAGAAATTAATAAAATAATAGAATAGGCAGGTAATCGGGGGTTGAAGACCTGGATTGCCCACTCACTGATTTTGATCTAGATCGTCGTATCTTGATCCGGATGGCTGTTATTTGAAAGACTGCACCCATCTAATTGCCATCCTTTAGTATGATTTAGAACTTTGTTGCGCCACGCACCTAGATTTATAAATTTTGGTTGCACATCATTTGAATTAGGGCATTCTTCGACATTCATGGACAGGTCCATGAAATGTGAGCATATCCCCATTGTAACCTTGGCCATTGATAAAATGCAAGCACTTTAAAATGGAAGGGGAAGAAAATGTCTATATAATTCTAGGTGAAAATTCAAACTATGGGATATAAAATAACAAGTCCCTTATATAGGACACTTTCAAACCAAAGAATTTGAGACCGCCGCTGAGTATGACAGGCAACTCAACTTTCTTCTTTCTTACATTCTTATTCCAAATAATCCTAACCCCACATCCTACAGAGCTTACTGGCAATAGGTTTAGCCAATGTCATATACAAAATTCTCAGATAAATTATCTCTTAACATAATCAACGTGGTCAAGGGAAAATTGAGCCACCAATGCATCAGGCAACAATTTAGATGGGTAAATCTACTTGTCGCGAATGAATTGATCACAGATAAAATGTGCCTTCAGCTTGATTTGAAAAGTGACCAGGACAGGATCAATTGCGATTTCATTCAAAGGCAAAGGCACTTGACAGCCTAGGATTTGCACAAAACATTCTTTCATGGGTTACTAGCCATTCCATATTACACCAGTATAAATTTTCTCCTTGGTTTTCTTCAGATGTAGTGGGGGCATTAGGCAAGGTGATCCTCTTAACTAATGTTCTTGCTAATGTTCAAATCAACAACTGGATATCATGCCTTTCTAACGGAAACCTGGCCCAGTTTCCTCAGACAAGAGTAGACATTAATTAACTACTTTACACCGATGTCCTTATGTTTGGGGGTGTAGTGTTTTCTCTGGTAGCAGATCTCATCCATCCCAAGGAAAATTGAATAGGTGATCAGCTAACAAGTCTGGAAAAGAATAAGCTTTTTCTTTTTAGGTTCAATGGGAACTTGAAATCTAGATTCATGGCCACTCTGAATTTAGCTAAACACACTTCTCCACCAAAGATATTTTAGGTCTTCCCTTATGTCATCCTTGTCTTAAATCCAATCATTGCTCTGATTTGATGGCTAAAGTCATCTAGAGTATTGCAATCACTATAATTATCCTTTGCGGGTAGATTGTCACATTAAAAAAGTGGATGTGCAAACGGAGCCTAAATCTATGTAAGCTACTTCTTTTGTGTGCTGGTTTCTTTCTTTATCCCTTTAACGATTTGTCACATTAATAAAAAAAATCAGTGATACTTCATGCGCAGAGGACATGCAGATTGCAGGGAGCTACAACTTGAACCTTATTTATAATAACTCCTGAAGAGTGGGGAAGATCGAGTTTAACCCTGTAAGCATGATGTAGGTAGCTCATAGAATATCAAGTCTCACCATTTTTGCTAGCTTCTTTAAGGAGTTATGTTCACATCTTGTGTTAAGGATTTGTGAGCCTCATGCTGTGTGTTCATGTGCATGGAGGGCTGTCTAGAAAGGCTTAGACCTTCTTTGATGGAATGTCTTGTGGTGGTTGGTAATGTCCCAGATATCAATGATTGGGTACATTCATGTCTCCCTCATGGCCATCGTGTGAGACTTATGCTGGCGATCTTCAATGTGATCTTGGGTACTAGCTATGAAGCATTATTTCACATTTAGTACTCCACAAGTTTGGAATCTGCCAACCATTAGTACTTTGTGCCAGGCTTAGAATCTTCCTATACTCATTTGGATCCAATTATGGCATGGGGTAATTCATGGTTTAAGATTTCATGGGTCTCCAAAGTGCATCCTAGAGCAAAGTGGTTCTAAAGCAAAGTGGTTTTACCTGCTCAAACTTCGCTTTAGAGGAAGGAAATCCCCACAATTTCCTTTAAGCAAGAATTATGAGGATCATTCTCACAATCCATTGCCTAGTCCCTCTGGAAAATTGGTGCGGAAATCTGTCATGCTTTCAATGTTGAATCCAATTAACTCTCCCAGATCACACCTAAACCTTCCTTGATGCATGGCGTAAAACACGTTTACAACAAATATGAGACATCTCTTTCCATGAGCCAGCAAAAAAAACTTTGATAGCGGGCTTATTCCTCATTATCAGACCTATAATTACCTTTTGGGATTAGTGGTATGTTGGCCTGAGACATTTGATGCTCAATTAGGTTGATAATAGCATGCAGCCCCATGTGACCCACAGGCAGAGAGAGAGAGAGAGAGAGAGAGAGATTTTTTTTCTCGTTGTTGTTCTTTGGATATATGTGGCTTTTGGGTACTTCAACAAATGGAGTTAACTCAGCATTTTGTCCTAAAATCATACACATTGCGGCCAAAACTGCACCAAATAATATGGTACAGATTAGCACAACAATTGTGGATCAACCTAACCAAGACACTCTTTATACCGGAGTAGTAGTTTAGATTTGCCCTTTAGCAATGCATACAAATGGAAATCAACCTAACCAAGTCTACATTACACCAGCAGAATGGTGTAGTTTAGGCTTGTCCTTGACAAAGTACACAAGATGTCCCCTCCAACAAGCTTTATGTACTGAGGGTGGAGACATTTTTGGTTCAACAGCTTCCTTCCTATGGGAGCAAGCTAACAAATACTTCCTGACAACCCCTCCCTCTCTCCCCACCCCCCCAACCCAAAAAAAAAACAACACATAAAAAAAGAAAAAAGAGAAAACACACACACAAACACACACAGAGAGAGAGAGAGAGAGAGAGAGAGCCTACCTGTCCTTTATAAAACCAAGCACCATAGGGAACTGTAATTTCAAAATTCATATCATCAGATAACTCACGGACAAGCGTCCGTGAACCCATCAGGGGTACAACAGAGTCTTGGTCTCCGCTGCATTTCAGGAATTTCAAACAAAATTTCAGGGGTTTGTAGTAGGATCAAATGGAAACAATTGCGAAACTTATTTTAGTACATCCATACCTGAAAACCCAAATGGGCACTTTGTGTTGGATTATTTTTTTAAGCACAGGAATCATATTGATACTACCATCTATATTGCTATAGTTCAATTGGCTGCACCCAAGTAGAAATATGTTAGATGAGCTGCAAAATCTTCTTCTGAAAACAATAAACTAGTTTTGATGGTAACAAGTATTAAGAAAAAATATCAGTAAAAAAAGTCAAAAGACCTCAAAAAATTAATGATGTGGTTAAATCAACAGATAAGATCCTTTTCTTTGGGAACCCCCAGGATGATTTTGTCAGAAAATGCCCAAACTGCATTTTTGGAATGGGAACAAGCACAGGTATTTTGGTAAATCGACTAGCCAAATTATCAAAATGCTCCCACATGTTCAGGATTCCAAACCCAACAAGAGATTTGAATGAAAAGCCCATATTTTGGTTTTGGAATCCAGAACATGCTGGGTAGTTTCATCATATGCCTTGTGCCACTTAAGTCGAGCAAAATGATGAAACTATTAATGCATGTTCTAGTCTCCAAACAATAACAAGATATTTTTATGAACAAATATGTTCTGAGTTTGGAACCCAGATCAAACAGGGCACAATCGCATCATTTGGCTTGGGTCACTTACACGCCCTGCTCATGCCTTATCACCTTCACTATTTTCTCTTCTGTGAATATCTCTCTCTCTCTCTCTCTCTCTCTCTCTTCACCCACCCCACCCCACACCACCCACTAATATCCATTTAAGCCCTTTTAAGAGTTTCAAAGTACGTACTCACTGCACATGCTCCAACTATAAGGTAACTTGGTCCGGTTTGCATGGAGAGCATACTGAACTTCTGGAAGGTTTAAATAGAAGCGCCTCTCATATGTCATGCATACATCTACACCTACACTGATCTTAGTAGCCTGCAAATAAAGTATGTTGTAGTTCACATAACACACAAATAACAGAAAGGAAGATTAAAAGAAAAGGAAAACCTATAGACCATATAAAACACTTGAACAATTGTAGGGCAATTTTTGGGAAATTGAAGATATCTGTGACCTACAGATGATTTAATTTCTCATGGGAAAGAAAATCCATTAAAAATGACAAGAATGAGAAAATAACAAAAACAAGAAATCTCTCTCTCTCTCTCTCTCTCT